AATAATAATAATAATAATATGCCACTCAGATAACTTCTTGTTCAGTTTCCATCCATTATTCTTTGTCTGGCCTTCAGGTGCTTTGGAGAATAGCTTGACCCTCTCTCCTCTGTGGTAACCCCTCAAATATTGGAAGACTGCTCTCCTGTCTCCCCTGGTCCTTCTCTTCACTAGACTAGCCAGGCCCAGTTCCTGCAACCGTTCTTCATATGTTTTAGTCTCCTAATCATCTTTGTTGCTCTTCTCTTTTGAAGAAAATCTATGGAAGAGTTCCAGCTTGGCCCTCAGAATCAACAACCTTGAGCCACCTTCTGTTTTGGCTGTTGTGAAAACCTCCCGAAGATAGAGGAGAAGGACGGAGCAACAACAAGTTGGTTCTGAAAGAAAGTAGAAGAAAATGCTTTCCCTGACGTGGCTGTTTTGCAGCTGTTCCTCCTCCTTTTCCCCTCCTCTCTGGCATCCGGACTTCTTTGCAGAAATCTGTGTTTTCCTAGACGGAGGAGCTTTCAAGAGCTCTCACTAAATCTCAGGGTGTCCCAGTGAGATCATCCCCCACCCCTCTGGGTGCCTGTTGTGGCCCACGGAAAAAAGCTGCCAGGAAGACAGACTGAAGGAAACAAGCATTGCTCTTGTGGAGCTCGATGTTATCCTTCCATCCCTCCATAAAAAGATCTTCCTGAATATCCATCAAACCAGAGGTGCGTTTGTCCATTTTTAATGTTGTTTTAAACTCTGCCTTTAAGGGTTGCTCAGACCTCTTCTCCCGCTTCTGTTTTTCTACTTTATTCTCAGGCTGCTTGAAAATTTCTTTCAAATTCCTCTTGGCTGGATTTTTTCCCACTTGTTTCATTGTGCAGGTGGTGAAGAGATCTACTGCTGGGAATGTCTGTGGTCATGGTTGTCCCCAAAGTGCTTTTTCAAAAGGCAACTGGACTTTCCTGGTTTTTCTTTGAAGATGTTTCGCTTCTTGTTGGAGAAGCTTCTTCAGAAAGCTCTGAAATCACTTAAAAAGCAAATATCATTAGTGGAAACCGAGGAAGCTTCTTGGATAAGAAGCTAAATGTCTTCAAGCAAAAACAAAGAAAGTCCTTTTGAAAAAGCGCCTCTGGGACTACAGGTAGCCCTTGACGGTTCATTTAGTGACCATTCAAAGTTATAACAGCCCTGGAAAAAGTGACATGACCATTTTTCACAGTTATGACCTTTGCGGCTTCCCCATGGTCACATGATCAAAATCCAGAGGTTTGGCAGCTGGTTTATATTTATGACTTCAGACGTTGTGGGAGGTTCATCACTGGAGGCTTTCAAGAAGAGACTGGACTGCCATCTGTCAGAAATGCGGTAGGGTCTGCTTGGGCGGGGTTGGGCTAGATGACCTACAAGGTCCCTTCCAACTCTGTTAATCTGTATCTGATGGTTCCACAGTCCCGGGATCATGGAATCCATTTTGCAGTCTTCGGACAAACAAGAGTCAATAGGGAAGCCAGATTCGTTTAACAACCAGCTTACTAACAACAAATGTAATAATTTACTTAACAGTTGTGACAAGAAAAGTTGTAAAATGGGACAAAACTCACTGAAAAAATAGAATAAAATAGAATTAGGGTAGAGTAGAGTAGAGTAGAATAGAATTCTTTATTGGCCGAGTGTGATTTGACACACAAGGAATTTATCTTGGTGCTCTCAGTGAAATGTTTCACTTAGCTACATAAACTTTGGGTTCAATTGTGGTCATAAGTCAAGGACTATCTGTACTGCTGTTAATATTTCCAGTCACACATTTTTCTATTATTCTGAGTAGCAGAAAAACTTCAGAGTTTGAATTATAATGAACTAACTAAACTAACCAACTTGCAACAAGCAAGCAAGCAACTTCTTCCTATGAAATTGTGGGAAGCTAGGAACTCCATATCACCAGAGAGATGTTTCTCTAGTTAATAGCAGGACATCTGCAGGCTTGGCCAGTGAGCAATTCACTTAGAGGCAGTACATCAGATTATCCCCAGAGTAATTTCCCTGAAATTCTCTTTTTCTTTGAAAAGAAAAGAAAACAAAGAAAACAAATTGATTGACTGGTTTAGAAAGAACGCAGAGAGAGATATTTGTGCTTTGTGTTCAGTGTTTATGTCCCATATGTATATAATTTGAAAGGAGAGCACCGAAATAGGAAGGGCAGGAAGACATTGCTCCTTTTCAACATCTGCTTTCAAACAACTGGAATGAATCAAGCCGGAAAAGTCAAGCAGGAGGGAATGTCATGATTAGGAGGTCTGGGCTGGCCTGACTTTTAGGCAAAATAAAACATACACTTTGAATTCTGAGGTGGATCAATGTTCAATGCTTCTATTTTTTTCAGTAATAACTTTGGATACCGACTGTATCCATCGTAAGTGACTTTTTTAAAAAGCCGATTGTAAGTTTGAATGGCCATTAAATGACTGGTGGCAAGTTGAAAACTATCTGATTTTTTTTTGTTTTTTCCCAATGCTTCCCTCAGTGTATTCAGAATAACAGAGCAGGAAGGGACCTTGGAGGTCTTCTAGCCCAGCCCTCTGCTGAGGCAGAAGAACCTATATCACTTCAGATAAGTGACTGTCCAGTCTCTTCTTAAAAACCTCCAGTGATGGAGCACCCACAACTTCTGAAGGCAAGCTGTTCCACTGGTTAACTGTCCTCACTGTGAGGAAGTTTCTCCTTAATTCCAGGTTGCTTCTCTCTTTGGTTAGTTTCCACCCATTGTTTCTTGTCCTGCCCTCTGATGCTTTAGAGAATAATTTGACCCCCTCTTCTTTGTGGCAGCCCCTCAAATACTGGAATACTGCTATCTTGTCACCCCAATTCTTATTTTCTTTAGAGTAACCAAGCCCAGAACCTGCAGCTGTTCTTTGTACGTTTTAGTCTCCAGGACTTTGATCATCTTAGTTGCTCTTCTCTGAAGTTTGTCCAACAACAACTTTTTTGTAGTGTGGTGACCAAAATTGGTTGCAGCATTCCAGGTGTGGTCTTACTAGGGTTTTATAAAGCAATGATATAAAAGTCTTCTAGTCCAACCTCCTGCTCAAGCAGGAGACCTTATATCAGGAGTGTCCAAACTTGGGAACTTTAAGACTTGTGGACTTCAACTCCCAGAATTCCCCAGCCAGCATCTTAAAGTTCCCAAGTTTTAACACCCCTTCCCTCTGCCATTCCAGATAAGTGGTTATCCAGTCTCTTCTTAAAAACCTCCAGTGATGAAGCATCCACACCCTCTGGTGGCAAGCTGTTCCGCTGGATGATTGCTCTCAGTGTTAGGAAGTTTCTCCACAATTCCAGGTTACTTCTCTCCTTGGTTAATATTCCAAAGGCAGATGGGCTCTTTACTTCTAGAAAGATCACCCGTCCCGAGGTTTTGGTCCTTCAAAATTGACTCAGTCCTCTGAACTGAATTGCAGATGTGCCCCTGTCTATCCCTGGGGTTAGCATGGTGAAGCTGACCCTTTCCTTTTTGCAAGGGCATTGCGAAGGACACACTTCTAAAAGGCATTTATTATGTTGCCCTGAACATCTTGAATTTTTTTTAACCCTCTGTTGTTGCCTAGCATGACTTCAATCTAATTGCAGTCATTGATCAAAAATCCAATATAGTAAACACAATCTAAAATGTTTTCAAACATTCAAAAGAGTTTTCCTCCTAGAAGCAAAATTGCTTTTTGGGGCTGTTTTCTGGCTTGGAGAGAAAAGCCATTTTCAAGGCCTTCTCTGTTTTTATTTTTAAATTCTCCTTGCCAGCCAGTTTTGTGATCCTTGATGTTGTCTGTATGGGGTTATTGTGTGCATCATCAATCTTACGTGGGTCTTAAAAAACTTGGCTGCCCCAAACTCTTGTTTTTAACTCCAAAATCCAGGCCATTTGAACCTATAGTAACATGTTTACAGGTGATCCTCGACTTATAACCATTTGTGTAGTGACTATTCAGAGTCACAATGGTATTTTAAAAAATGACTTTCAACCTGTCTATCTGCACACTTACAACCAATCAGCATCCCCACGATGTGACCAGAAGTGAAAGTTTGGCAACCGGCAGCATCCCAGGTCACTGGAGACTAAAACATATGAAGAACGGTTGCAGGAAATGGGTATGTTTAGTTTAAGAGAAAGAAGGACTAGGGGAGACATGATAGCAGTGTTCCANATATACGGGCTATTTGAATAGCAGACTTGTTAGAGTTGGAAAGGACCTGGGAGGACTTCTAGTCCAACCCCCTGCCCAAGCAGGAGACCCTACACCATTTCTGACAGATCCAATCTCTTCTTCAAAGCCTGCAGTGATGAAGCTCCCACAACTTCTGGAGACAGGCCTTTCCACTGGTTAATTGTTCTCATTGTTAGGAAATTTCTCCTTAGTTCTAGGCTGCTTCTCTCCTTGATTAGTTCTCATCCATCATTTGTTGTCCTGCCTTCAGGTGCTTTGGAGAATAGAATACAGAATAACTGAATTGGAAGAGACCTTGGAGGTCTTCTAGGCCTAATGTGTGCTCTCTCTTTGTTCATGAACTGGGTTTGTAATCAATATTATTGAACAGGGATTATTGAGGTGCTTAAAAATAATAAAGAAGGATATCCTATGAGAAACGTGTTCTTTCTCATTTCTTTCTCCTCTATTTCCTTTTGTGCTTTTAACATTTTCCCCTTTCTGTTAGGTATATTAAAAGAGTGGTGGTCAGTCTCTTTTCATCTAAGGATCTCCTTTTGTGATGTCCAACTGGGAGAAAAGTGTATTAATAAAGTCATAATTACATCTACGCTACAAAGATTATTTGATGATGGATTGAATCAGTGCTGTGGCAAAATTAAATTAGAGGTTAATTTAGTTTTGGTCTCCCTTAGAATATAGAATTGCACAGCGGGAAGGAACCTCAGAGGTCTTCTAGTCCAACCCCTGCTCAAGGCAGGAGACTTCATACCTTCAAACTCATCCCTACTCACAGAACACAGAATTACAGATTGGAAGGGACCTTGGAGGTCTTCTAGTCCAACCCCCTGATCAAGCAGGAGACCCTACACCAGAGATGGTGAACTTTTTTGGCACTGAGTGCCCAAACTGGAATGCACATGCATGCATGCGCTGGCCAGCTAGTGCAGATACTCGGTGGCCAGTTGGTTCTTGTGTGTGCTGAAGCTCCAGAAACCCGAAGACCAGCTGGCTGGCGCACACGTGCCTGGGTTTTGGCTGTTTTCTGACCATTTTCAGACTTTTTTCCTGGCCATTTGCAGACTGTTTTCAGGCCATTATTTGGATCAAAAATGGCCAGGAAAACAGCCTGTTTTTTGGGCATTTTCCAGGCTGTTTTCAGGCCATTTTCCGGCGCTCTGGCATCCCTGAAGACTATGCACAACAGAAACCAGGAGAGCAGCTAGCGACGGCATGGCTGCCCACAGAGAGGGCTCTGCATGTCAGCTCTAGCATGCGTGCCATAGGTTCGCCATCACTGCCCTATACCATTCCGGAGAAATGGTTGTCCAATCTCTTCTTAAAAGCCTCCACTGTTGGAGCACACACAGCTTCTGGAGGCAAGTTGTTCCACTGATTAATCGTTCTCACTATTAGGAAATTTCTCCTTAGTCCTAGGCTGCGTCTCTCCTTGATTAGTTTCTACCCATTGCCCTCAGGTGCTTTGGAGAATAGCTTGACCCCCCTCTCTTGGGGGGCAGCCCCTT